AAAAAAAAAAAAAAAAAAAAAAAACTCCCCTCCAGCAGAGCAGCAGAGCTGTAGCTTGGGGTTGTGAGTGGGACCAGAAAACTAGGGTTCAAGGTACAGCCTGGTCTAGTAGACTTGGGACCCTGGGCAACTCATTCAACCTCTCAGCCTCATTTGTGGTTAAAAATACAGGTTCTCAAGCTTCACTGGATATCTATGACTATAAATCAGGGAGGGACCTGGGTGTGTGTGGTTGTTTGTTTTGTTTTGTTTTAAGTCATGGTCTCACTCTGCCACCCAGACTAGAGTTCAAAATCATGGCTCACCACATCCTCAAACTTCTGGGCTCAGATGATCCTCCTACCTCGGTCTCCTGAGTAACTAGGAATATAGGTATGCACCACCACACCTGACTAGTTTTATTATTATTATTATTTATTTTTATTTTTGTAGAGACATAGTCTTGCTATATTGCCCAGACTAGTCTCAAACTTCTGGGCTCAAGTGATCCTCCCGCCTCAACCTCCCAAATTGCTGGGATTACAGGTGTGAGCCATCTTGCCTGGCCTGTGGGTGTATATTTGTCAAGTAGTCAGGTGTGAGGAACACTGAACTAGACTGATGGTTCTTCAGCAGGGATAAGATAATTGCCCAAGAATTATTCAGATTACAAAGACTTAGGCCCTGCTCTTGGGAGATTCTGATGTGGTAGGTCGAGGTGACTCTCCTGTGAAAAATATTTTTGAAAAGCTCACCTGGGATTCTTTTTTTGTTTTCTGAGTTGGAATCTCACTCTGTCACCCAGGCTGGAGTGCAGTAGCGCACTCTCAGCCACCACAGCCTCGACCTCCCGGGCTCTGCCTCACACTTCCAAGTAGCTGAACCCACAGGGGCACGCCACCATGCCCGGCTAATTTTTCTTATTTATTGCAGAGACAAGGTCTCGCCAAGTTGCCCAGGCTGGTCTCAAACCCCTGGGCTCAGGCAATCCACTTGCCTCTGCCTCCCAAAGTGCTGGGATTACAGGTATGAGCCACCATGCCCAGCCACCTGGGATTCTAATGTGCATCCCTGGGTCCCACTCCAAGATATTTTTATCTAATTGGCCCAGGGTATGGTCTGGACAGGGCACTGGGGTTTTTAACGCTCCGCAGGTGATTCTAATGTGCAACCAGTATGAGAACTGAATAAGTTAAAATATCAGCCCCAGAATCCTAAAAACCAAAAAAAAAATGCTGGTCTTTATTGATTGGTCACCAGGTGGCAGACGTGAGCAAGGGTCCACCTCTGGAATTAGAATCCTTGCTTAGGCTTTAGAGTATTTTTTTTTTTTTTTTTTTTTGGCCTGTGGGAGAAAATCTCTTGAAGATGTTAATCCTCTAGACAGCAATTAATAAATACCAGGAAATGTCATAAAGTGTGCATTTTAGATTAAATCATGGAATTACTAAGGACAATCAGCTGTCACACTGCAGTGATAGAAATGGTCTTGGCTGTTGCTCTGGGATCCCTGGATAGAGAAGGGACCCCATGCAGTGGATCAAGCAGCAGAGTCTTGGGGAAAGAGTCAGTCCTGGTTATAAAGACAGTGAGGGGCTTGGCGGTTAAAAAAAAATAAAATCAGTCGGGCAGGAAAGGACTGAATGCCTTCCAGGTGGATTCAGCGAATGCCGTCAGCAGCAGAAAACAGTGTGGTCAGGGTGGAGCTCTAAAAGTGCTTGTACAGACAGTCACAGAGGGCCAAGCTGCTTAGGAAACCTTACAAACTGTCCTGTCAACTTGACCATCTATGCACTGATCAGAGGTGGAGAGGCCAGGCACAGTGGCTCCTGTCTGAAGTTCCAGTACTTTGGGAGGCCAAGGCAGGAGGATTGCTTGAGGCCAGGAGTTCGAGACCAGCCTGGGCAACATAGCAAGACCCCTCCATCTCTACAAAAGCTTTTTATAATTAGCCAATGTGATGCCTATAGTCCATCTACTCTAGAGGCTGAGGCAGGGCTATCATTTGAGCCCAGGAGTTTCAGGTTGCCTTGAGCTGTGATCACGCCACTGCATTCTAGCCTGGACAACAGAGTAGGACCCCATCTTTAAAAATAAATAAATAGCTAGGCATGGTAGCTCAAACCTGTAATCCCGGCACTTTGGGAAGTGGAGGTAAGAGGATTGCCTGAGCCCACATGTTTGAAACCAGGCTGAAATGGACCAGCACAGCAGGTCGAGGCTATGGTGGCCATGAGCAGCATGCCACTGCACTCTAGCCTGGGCAACAGAGTAAGACTCTGACTCAAAAAAATAAATAAAAGATAGGTAGATAGATAGATGATAGATAGATAGATAGATAGATAGATAGATAGATAGATAGATAGATAGATAGATAGATGTAGGGAAATTACAGGGCTCTTCTTACCATGTCCCTTACCAGGGCCTGTAACTACAGGAAAGCCAAGTCTCAGGCCAAACCTGCCCACATCTATAAACACTGATTAACAAGCCACAAAAAATCAGAAACCTGTTCTTACAGAATTAGTGAAACCCCAGCTTGATGTAAGTATTTTGCGTGACTGTTTCATTAAAAGCAAATGTGGGCCAGGCACAGTGGATCAAGTCTGTAATCCCACCACTTTGGGAGGCCTAAACAAGAAGATTGCCTGAGCCCTGGGGTTCGAGACCAGCCTGGGCAACTTGGCGAGACCTCATATCTACAATAAATCGAAAATTAGCCAGGCGCGGCAGTGCGCGTCTGTAGTTCCAGCTACTTGGAAGGCTGAGGCGGAAGGCTCGCCAGAGCCCAGCACGTCGAGACTTCGGTGACCGTGAGCATGCCACTGCACTCCAGCCTGGGCGAAAGAGTCAGATTCCAACTCAAAAAAAAAAAGTAAATGTGCCCATATTCTAGCACCTGAATTTGGTTTACCCTGTGAATCAGTCTGAATCAGGCAACAAAACCCTCTGCTCAGTGGTGGGTCACAGAGCCTTCCCAATTCCTGCTCTCAGAGTGTCTCTGAAGAGTATTAGGCTGCTGTGTTTCCAGATTCTATAACCCATTTCTGCAAGGGAAGAGATTCCTATATTTTTCTAGCCAATCCACATACCTTGAGTATCCCTCTACTCACCAGGGCAACATTATTTCTAACAAATTATTTACTCATTAGCAAACTCTCAGGTGTAGATTTAGAAAACTAAAGGTGTATAGTGACTGCCTCTGTAGTTTGGACTTGTGATCAAGTACACTGCAATGCTAACTATCTACCCTGGGGTGTGACTTCCTGATTAGAGTCCTTCAGGTGCTAGCTAATTTATGTATTTCATGTTTGACAAATCTATTAAAAGTACATTAGAGCCCTGGCCATGGTGGCTCACACCTGTAATCCTAGCACTTTGAGAGGCTGAGCTAAGAGGATTGCCTGAACCCAGGGGTCTGAGATCAGCCTTGGGAACTTGTCGAGAACTCATCTCTACGATAAAAATAAAAATAAATTATCTGGGCATGGGGGCACACTCCTGCAGTTCCAGCTACTTTGAAGGCTAAGGCAGAAGGACCTGAGCCCAGCTGGTCGAGGCTGCTGCAGTGAACATGAGCGTGCCACTGCATTCCAGCCTGGGGGAGAGTGAGACTCCAACTCCAAAAAAATCAAAAAAAAAACAAAAAAGTACATTAGAGACAACAGAACACCCATAATACCATGACTTGGGCTTTGTTGGAAGGCAGTCTTTCCCTGCCATCAGCATCCAGTTGGAAACAACCTCCTGTGAAGCCCTCCTAGACACTCCAAACAGATACCACCCTTCCTTCCTCCCTTCCCCAGCACTCCGCATGACTCAGAACGCTGATCCCCTCCCTGTGTTGTAACTGTCTATTTACACATCAACTCCAAGGCTCCACTGATCTCATGGGCAGCAGAGACCATTCTTTGATCCCCAGTGCCTGAAGCAATACCAAGCACATAGTAAAGACTTAATAAAAGTTGATTCACTATGTAAATGAAATGAGTCCCACATACTTTTCCATGGCATGCTTGCATTGATGCTGCTCAGCATTGATAGATCTTTTTCCAGCTTGCTACTGGCTAAGAAGATACATGAAAGCAGTAATTCAGATACCCCTGAGAATGCATGTATTTAGTTTTCTCCCTAGGGAGTGGAAAACTTGAGGGTCTTCTTAGCTGGTGTCTCATCTGATCAAACAGTCCAAGTCATGGGTGGATGTCCTTGTTGGGACCCAGGCCTCACCCCTCACTGGCACTGGTCATTAAAGAGGACACTCCACCAGAACTGAAAACAACTCCTATCACTAGACTGCTACCACATCTCTTGCAAAATCTGACTGGAGACTTAGAATCACCACGCTATTTGA